AAGGCGAAATCAAGGTGCGTGTGTGTGCTCGTGAGTGGACGTTTGCTTGGAACCTGACTGTCTGTGACTTGATTCCCTTGAAACGCTGTGACATGACACCATTCCCCGACACACATGCACACACACACACACACACACACACACACACACACACACACACATGTACACACACACACACACACACACACACACATCACATCACACACACACACACACACACACGCTGTGACATGACACCATTCCCCGACACACATGTACACACACACACACACACACACACACACACACACACACACACACACACACACACACACACACACACACATGTACACACACACACACACACACACATCACATCACACACACACACACACACACACACACACACACACACACACACACACACACACACACATACTCTCACATCTTCTCATGCCCCTTGCCCCTCTTGGCCCTCCTCTTACCCTGACCAACAGGAGATCATGTGAGAGACTATTGACGAGCCGGAGGTGCCGCTAAACAAATTCTCGCGCCCGTTCTTCCCGCGTCTGCGCAAGTTCCTGAAGCGAACAGAAAGAAAGGGCGCCCGCTGCAGTACGAGCTGGTGATGAGGGAAGACACGCCGTTTGTCACCCCCGCGATATGGAGGGAGCCCTTCGACCTCATTCGCACCGAGAGAGACTCAAGAGCATATGACAGCGTATGCTGAACACGTGTGTGTGTGTGTGTGTGTGTGTGTGTGTGTGTGTGTGTGTGTGTGTGTTGTGTTGCGACGTGATGAGAGATATGAACGTACATGTGAGGGGATCGACGTTTGCGCAAAATGTAGGCAGGGCATTGAATGACACGAGAGGAAACCAGTGTCAAAACTGCAGCCCCCCCCCCCTCTTCTCTGCCAAACATACCGTTGCGCTGTGCCGGTGTGACGACGGCCTGCACGGTGTCGTACACGTCCTGCTGCGGCTGATCGACTTGGCTGTACACAGACTGCGGTGACGCTGCTTGTACGCCGCCAAAGTCTGCGTCACCGTAAATGTGGTCTGTTGATGACGACGTGGCAGCAGTGCCCGATGCCGTTGTCGGTTCGGCAATCTCACCGTACACGTGATGTGGCGTGAACGTGAGCCTCAGCCCAGCGCCTTGTCGCTGCTGTTGCTGTTGTTGGAACTGACCAACAGGCTCGCCAAAGGGGTTGGACGACGAGGGGCCCAGCGACAACCGTTTCGTCTGTTGCTGCTGTTGCTGTTGGCGTTGGCGCTGACCTGGGCCGACCGGGTCTTGGATTTCGCCGTAGAGGTGGCTGTCGTGCGCGGCAACTGGCTCCGAAATCTCGCCGTACACGTGCGACCCCATGTCAACTTGCACCTGTATGGATGGAGGGGAGGAGCGTGAGGCAAACACGTGATGACACACGAGCGTGTGAACAGGATGGATACGCGCATGAAAGGGGAAAAAGGGAAGAAAAAGAAGAACACAAGGGAAAGAACGAAACAGACATAGGGAAGCAGAAACAAACATCAGAACAGTTCATTTGCACAGGCGCACGCATCGCACCGTTGGCTGCGATTGCAAGCGGACGCGTGACAGCTCTCGTTGTTGATGAAGCCACTGCTGGTGCTGCTGATCCTTGTGTTGTCCGCGCGTTCGTGACTGCTGCTGTTGCTGCTCCTTCTTCCTGTGTCGTTTGCGAGCGTCCTCTACAGACGGCGGCACGACGTCGCTGTTGCCGCGCGATTGCGCATCGACAAACGCCCGGAAGCGGCGGTAGTGCTCCGGCACCGGTTTCGCAGGCGCACACACCTGGCGACAGTGAGTGAGTCAGTGAATGAGTGTGAGTGAGTGAGTGTGAGTGAGTGAGTGAGTGAGTGAGTGAGTGAGTGAGTGAGTGAGTGAGTGAGTGAGTGAGTGAGTGAGTGTGTGAGTGAGTGAGTGAGTGCGTGCGTGCGTGCGTGTGTGTGTGTGTGTGTGTGTGTGTGTGTGTGTGTGTGTGTGTGTGTGTGTGTGTGAGGATGCTAAGGTTGTACACAGCACAAATCAGCCACCAACCGCCCCCCCCCCCCAAACGCCCCAATCGCACGTTCCCCACCTACCTCCAGCTGCCGCTGCTTGTTCCGCCTGAAACCCGATGCCGTCTCGTCCACCGCAAACACAATTTCGCCGCGGCTGTGATTCCTGCGCTCAAAGGCGATCATCCCTTGCACCTTCACCTGTCAATGGAGGAGTGCACAGTGTTGGCGGACGTGTCAGACAGAAAGAGACAGGGTAAGAAAGAGAAAAGGAGAGAAGGAGAAACACAGAGAAAAGCACACTTGCGCAAGCACAGACACAGACACAGACACAGATGCAGACACAGACGCACACACACAGACACACGCGCGCACGTACGTCCTTCGCCTTGTTTGCAACGTATGCAATCTGTGTAACAGCCTCGATTACATAAGGAGTGTGGAAGATCCAATCACCCTTCAAGAAGCACGCACAAAACGAATCAAATCACGGGTGAGTTGAATACAAAAGCAAACGCGCATGCACGCGTGTGGTATGTCGGTTTGTTGGCGTCTCATTTTTCGATCGTTCAACGGGCAGTTTGTTTCGTTCACGAGCCACGCATTGTTTCAAGCGAATACCTTGTTGTGGGGGGTGTCAGGTGCAGTGTGGAGCACAAAGACGCCGTCATACTTGTTGCTCACGCTGATGCCCTGTCATCATCATGCGCAGCGCAGCGCGGTCATGTTCAGATGGGGGATAAGTAGTGTGGAGGCGTGATAGCAAACAGAAGCACACTGACAAACACACAGCGCCACCACCACCACCACAACCACAATCACAACCACCACCGCAGGAATCAAAATACCAACAACCGAAAGCGAGCAGTACTCACGAGGATGTGTGCAAAGTTGAGCTGGACATTGAGCTTGAGAGATTCCGGGTAGAGGATGAAGACGCTGCTGGTGGTGACGACGAGCACATACTCGCGCGTCTTGAACGATCTGCGGTCAAACTTGCCGACGTTGATGCTGTACCGCACTTGGTCGTTCTGCAGCGGACACGGGCGCAGTTGGTGTCGGTTTCGCGAGTGCGTGAGTGAGTGCGTGAGTGAGTGAGTGAGTGAGTGAGTGAGTGAGTGACCGTACATGTGTGCGCTCGACCGTACACGCGGTCTTGAGAGTTTGAAGCATATGGAAGCACAAGGGGGTATGACAAACAATGCAAACACAAGAAACAACAGCAGCAGCAGCAGCAGCAGCGGGGTTCCGCACCGGTGCGTGTCGCTGGAGGATTCTGGCAGCGGTGCTGTGCTTCGGGTGCTGCGCAAACGGGGACGGCTGCATGCGGTCTGTGGCAAACGGCTCTGCAACAGACATGGGGTACAGCAGCTTCTTCGTGTTGAACATCTGAACAGCAGTAGCAACAACAACAGCAACAGCAACAACAGCAACAACAACAACAGGTGTGAGAAGTGTGAATGCAGAGTGACAACAAAGGCATTTGTCGCGGCGACGGGACAACGTGTGTGTGCGTGCGTGTGAGAGTGCAGGTGTGTGTGAGTGCAGGTGTGCGTGTGCGTGTGCGTGTGCGTGTGTGTGTGTGTGAGTGCAGGTGTGCGTGCGTGTGTGGACCTCATTTGCGAGAAGCTTGAGCACGAGTGCCCTGTGCCTGGCTGGGTTCCGTGTGACGGCATCCCTGTGTCGGCGGCACAACTGCCTCTTCACCATTCGATGCAACAGCTGACGGCACGGCAAAGTGGACGTGTGTGTGTGTGTGTGGTGGGGGGCGGTTGCGAGTGAGCGAGAGTGTGCGTGCGTTTGTGTGCAAGGGCGAGCAGCTGCGAAGTGCATGACGACCTGATGCAGGACAGTAGGAAGGCACTCTTGCCACACATCGCCCATCCCAAATTGGTCTTCCACACACCTTCGAGGTTTCCTGCAGGTACGGAGGCGTTCTCTTGATCCATGTCGGGTCAAGCACCGTCTTTGGCTGCAAGAACATCAACATGTGTGCACGCATATGCGCAATTCATGATGTGTCAACTCAATGCATTGCGGAGGATTGCCGCGACGTGTATGTGTGTGTGTGTGTGTGTAATGCGTGCACTCACCAGTGATTCCCGCAACTCCATGAGCCAGCGGTAGCGAACAAAGTCCAAGAACTGCATCAGGTGCATCGCAGGGTTAAGCGCAGCGTGAGTCACAGTTGGGCGAACAGTGAATGCACGTCAGCCAGCACCAATGAATGAGTAAATGCATCATGTTGTGGCACGAACAAAAGCTTCAGCGCAGGGTGCTGTGTGCATGCATTTGCAACACCTGCGCATTCTCGTTGCATCGGGGCTTGTTCCTGTTGTTGTATCCCTTGATGAACTTCTGGATAACCTCTTTCGCGTGCTGGCGCCGCCGCACCCACCGAATCATCGCCCTGCTCGCGCGGGAGTGGCAGTGGCAGTGGTGGTGGTGTGGACAGGTAGACATGTTGCGTGAGCCACTGGCTGTCACACTCACACTCACCAAGCAACCACAGAAATGGGCACGCACACAGACACAGACACAGACACAAACACACACACACACACAAGCAGACACAGCATGCACACACACACACACACACAAACAGACACAGCATGCACGAAGGGCACTGCAACGCACAGCCTGAGGGTGATGTAGGCGAGCTTGAGCTGGCCGAGTTTCTTCTGCGCTGCGCGGCGCCGCCAGTGCTTTGCCAGCGTGATGGTGGCAACCTTCAGCTCCAGGAAGAACTTGCGCTTCGCGTATCCGCGGAAACGCGTCTGGATGCGGGTGGCAATCCAGTGCCGCTTCTCCTCAAACTGCCGCTCAATCGCAAACAGCGTCTTGGGGTTCCTGGTGGCGACGGCGCAGTGGCAGTTGGGGGGGGGGGTGGGTCGCGTGGGCACGGGTGTGTGTGTGTGTGTGTGTGTGTGTGTGTGTGTGTGTGTGTGTGTGTGTGTGTGTGTGTGTGTGTGTGTGTGTGTGTCGTGTGTGTGTCGTGTGTGTGTCGTGTGTGTGTCGTGTGTGTGTGTGCAGTGTTTGTTGTTGCGTGTCTGCGCGTTGGACAAGGCATGTCAATGAAAGGACGGCGCAAGTGACACCACCACCACCGACCTGATGAAGATCTTTGTCTTGCCCATCCTGGACACGTGCAGACGGGCAACAATTGATGTTGTGTGCGTGAGAAGCTGAAAATGAAGATCAAACAAAACAAACACACGCACACACACACAGAGCACGCACACACACACACACACACACACACACACACACACACTCCCCGGCTTCCCTCCCGTGTGTAGTCAACGCACTGGTATTCGTCCTGCGTGAATCCCATGTGGTCCATGAGGCGCTGCACACCCTCTGCGGCGGAGCCTGGGTAATGGGGCCATGTTTCTGGACACAGCGATTTGTAGCGCTGGAGGAAGAGGTCAAAAGGGCGGCGGTAGGCAAAGCCGGCGCGACGGACACGAAGGTTCTCCATCAGCCCGAGATATTTCACCTGCGAACCGACAGGACGGAGGGGGGAGGGGGAGAAGGCGGATTGCCAGAAGCGTGAGCACACACATGATGTGTGAATGTGTGTACGTGTGCGTGTATGTGTGTGTGTGTACGTATGTGTGTGCGTGTTGGAATCGACCATGAAGCACGGCCAGCACCACATTTGTCTCTTGCTTCCACCGCAGCGCATTTGCCTCAGTTACCTGGTGCCTGACGACGTCAGCGTTAAACACGCCTGCGCGTTTGTCGTGGTTTGGCTTGATGCAGCGCACGTACGAGGGCGTCTTCGCCATGAGAATGTCGATGAGCGCATTGAGCGACGTCTTGAACTGCGATCCAGCCGTTGGAGGCCGGCGTCGGCTCTCAAGCTCGGCGTGCGGGAAGCAATCTAACACAGCAGAGACACGAGCATTGGAGGGAGGCGGCGAAGGAGGGTCGGGTTATGCAATGATGTGACGTGCGTGCGTGCGCGCGTGTGTGTGTGTGTGCGTGCGTGCGTGTGTGTGTGTGCACAGGATGGCGAGTGAATGCACAACTGCGTTTGAGCATATGTGGTGCACATGGAAAGGCACCCCAGGCAGCAAAAGCTCCACAGCCTCAACAGAACCAAGCCATTGCTTTTTTGCTACCTTGCAGGAGGTGCGTGCTTGATTGCGACATGGCTTCCTTGAGGTCTCTGAAGAGCTGGTCGTTGTTCTTGTCAATGAAGCCGTCAATCGAATAGTTCACGTCGCCTGCAGGCGCAACCAACCACCCGAACAAAACCAAAGTAAAGTAAACATGCGCGGGTGGGAACGCGGTCGGACACAAAAATGCAGACAGATATGCGCACACATACACATGTACGCATACACGCACACAGAAATGCATGAACAGGCAGTGGTGAGTATTGTGAAGATGGTAGCACGGATTGACAAAAGAGCACAGCAGCAGCAGCAGCTACACCGATGGTGTCAGCACGAGGCCCATCACCACCACGTCACCGTCGTCACCTGCATAGTGCTTGATCTGGAAATCGCGGCGGCCGAGGGCAAGCGACTTGCGCTGCTGGTGAGTGATGGTCGCGTGCGACAGGTAGTGCGGATGCCTGCAGGCAGTGGAGCGGCATCGTACATGCAGAGACACAAGGTGTGGATATGTGTGGACGTGTGGAGTATGTGTGAATATGTGTGGATATGTGTGGATATGTGTGGATATGTGTGGATATGTGGATGTGTGGATGAGAGTAGTGAGCACAAGCTTGATGGGTGCGCGAGTGTGTGTGTGTGTGTGTGCATTGTAAATGTGTGTATGGGCGCGTTTGCTGACCGGCCGAGCGATTGGTTGAGGCGTTCGAGGAACGTGTCGTCCGAAACATTTCCAGGACGGATGCACTCCTCGTTCTAGCGGCAACAGCGAGCAGCCATGGTGATGGCGATGGTGGTGATGAACAGGCGTGAAGAGAGGTGTGAACAGAACAAGTAGGCAGGCTCACACAAAACGGGATCGAACACGGGCAGTGGGAGTGGCAACAACGTGCCATTGTTAACACGCGACACTACACAACACCGTGCACATCTCCACCCATCGCGTCCTTTTCCTTACCAGGATGGCGATGATGCCCTTGTGCTTCATCTCAACCATGTCGCAGATGATCTTGTTGTTGAAGTACTCAATCGTCTCCCACTTAATGCCTTCCTGCCGGTACTCATCCTGCTCAGACTTGAGCGTCAGCTCAATGAACAGCTGCTGCAGCTTCTCGTTGGAGGAGTTGAAGGCAAAACTTGC